ACACACACACACACACACACACACACACACACACACACACACACACACACACTGGTTCAACTCCTGGTGATAAACCGCTCCAGCCAAACCGATGAAGGCTCCGTGATCTCTCAGCACTCAGTCACCTGGTTTTCTGCGTCACTAACAGTTTGTTTCCAGATGAAGATGGCAGTAGCTGAAATGCTGAGATTCTTTGGATCCATAATCGATCCCTGAGGAACTCCAACTTTCATTTCAGCAGGGTGCAGCGTATTTCCATTATAAGGAAGAATCTTAACGAATCGACGATTCGTAGACGTCACAGTGTCGTGTTGTGCAAGCTGAGAACATCAGAAACATCCAGACTTGTTGGTTTTTGGCTTGAGATAAATTCAAAGTTTCTTCATGTTCTGTTCACAGCTTTAGTTCTCCTGGAAGTTTGAAAACTATTTTTAGGCCAAAGGATTCGCGGTAAATGAACCATGTAAATCTACTTCCCACAGAGAACGTTTCGTTGTTTTTTTTTCACAGCAATCCAAACGTCTGTGGGGAAACAAGAGCTCGCCAAAAGTGACGCCATCGTCAGCATTATCCTAAAAAAACAATGTTTTCACTTTTCATGATTTTCTCCACTTCAGCTGTCTTTACCTCCATCTGTATCTTTCTGTCTTTGTCCATCAGTTTTCTGGAGGAAGTGATGTCGGCGACAGGTCCCAGCAGCAGCAGCAGCCGAGCACACGGAGGTGGTTTCCATAGCAGCAGGCGCTAAGCACAGAGACTCGCTCTTCTTCCTCTCCTCCAGCTCTTGTGTGATGAGCAGCATCGTCCCCTTCGTCTGTTTGTTTGAAACATCATCAGACCGTCCCTGTGACATTAGAAACACCTCTGATCAATAACTGTAACTGACAGCAGAGCCGCTGCACAGCACGGCTCAGACTGGACTCCGCTTTAGTGTAGATATTGTCTTTTAAAATGAAAAGATTTCAAAGGTTTTCCTCTTCCTGTGTGTTAAAATACAGAATCCAGGACGTCTGGCTTGTCCTCAGCCTCACACTGTTACTGAAACGACCTGTGGGCCACCACTGTGGCCCCTCGGAGCCACTGACAGCAGGCAAAATGACATAAAAATGAGAGGCAGCAATTCATATAACAGACTACAAGCTATCGTCTGACCTGGACTAACATCGCTGGTCTGCAGCCGGCTGTGAGACGAGTGCTCAGAGACTCAGCAAACGTCACACATTCACTTACAGCTTTGCTCTCATACAGTGTTTCACCTTCAAAAGCCCTGATCGTAGCCCCACTGCTTACCTTTGCTGTAAATATCAGACGAACCTCATTGGACCATCAGTCAGTAACGCTGCTGCTGGACTTACATTTTGTGGAACGTCCCTTTAAAGTGTCTGTGTGGCTGACTGTGGTTGTTTCAAGTTTCAAAGCACTAATAAATAAAAATGTTCACACAAACGGTGTCTCTGTTAAGATGACGTTGGACATGGATCTTCAGTGTCTCCTTAGAGGACAGATCTCAGTGGTTCTGGAGAGACTCTGAGCACTGCCACACCAAACACAAGGAGCCTGATGAGGTGGTTCAGGCACCAGGATGCCTCCTAGGTTAGGTGGAAGGAGGCCAGGACGCACCCAGGAGCTGTAGCAGTAAAAACAGAGCCTGTGACCTACAGCACAAATCTCTCTACTATCAAATAGGACACATGAATAAGGAAAACATTGGAAAAGCACTTTGTGGAAACAAAATAAAGGTTGTTCAGTTTCAGCCTAACCCAATCTTTGCCATGCTCTGAGTCCAGCTTTGCAGACTGATGCAAGTCCATCGGTACGAGAACAGAGAACATGGACTCTTCTGGAAGTGGATAGAATCCTTGAATATCCTGAATCTGCCCAAACTGTTTATGCCGTCTTACTGGCAGGTGCAGAGAACTTAGTTTTTTGTTTACATGTTGTCACTGTGATATTTGTTTTTAACCCACTGCACAGACACACAACAGGCTGAAGTGTTTGGAGCATTTAGGAAAGATCTGAGTCTCGGGGAGCTTTTGGCTCCCATTTTGCAAGAAAAGCCTTTAATGAGATGCAAATGCACCTTCACTACAGTATAACTGCGTTCAGTGTGGGTTGATGTGTGTGGTGAAACAAGTGAACCTCTGAGAGTCTGATTATAGCCTTTATGCTGTGTGGATAGGTGGACTGCACACCTGTAACAAACCTGTGCAGGCTGGGTTATGGTGGCCCAGCAGCCAGTGGAGGCGAGTGCAGAAGGGTTTACCTTCATTCAAGCAAACAGGTGTAAAACTCCCTGCTGGGCTCTGCTGGGCTCCGTGGGATGTGCTCTTTTTGTTTCATGAAAAACATTTCTCTCATTCACACACTAAATCAAATAAATATTAAATATTATTTTTGTGTTTCCCAAAAGGTTGATTCTGTTCATCTGGACGTTTTCAGTGTGGTCATCATCAGGTGACGTCTTCAGTCTCAGCTGACTGCAGGTGTCAAACCTTATAAACAGGACATTTGCACAATAACAGCCCACTGAAGGAACAATGGGAGGTGGGGTCAGTTTATGATCATTGATATGCAAACTGTCATCAACAACCAGGAGTCCCGGTCACAGAGAGCTGGGGAACGGCTGCAATCACAGCATGTACGATGGTGACAGATGGACCCTTAGGCCCCTCCTCCATTCAGAGGTGGGCTTTCCCTTTTCACCACTAAACAATAAGCAGGACACATGACTGGAGCTAAATTTATTTATTTGGTTTTAGGCATTGAATTTGATGGAGCAAAGAGAAAGGGTGGTGTAAAGCACAGAGCTCAGACAGCTGGAGGTCACCAACATGCTTCTTTCAGTCGGAGGCTTTTCTCTGAAACACTCCTGAGTTTGAACTAAGAACCTAAATAAAATCCTTCTGCCCTCCAAAACACAAACAGGACCGTTTGCAACAGTTTGTGCTCCAAAGGTTTTCTCTTTGTGTGTATTGTGCATGTTTCTGAAGATATTTCTGTACAAGCACATCACAGGTGAGAAATAAAGCAGTTAGTGTTTGGTTCCATATTGTACCAGTGATGGATTCGCCACACGGACAGGCTGGGCTAAATAAATAATGTAATTATTGATCACAGGGTCAGATCAGACAAATCACTGGATAACAAAGCTCTGCATGCTTTGGCCCGGGTGAGCCACAGGTAGTACTGACACGGAGCAGAATACAGGATTAAATACAGTCAAATGTATTGTGTCTCTGTGTTCTTCTGTTATTGTGTCACTAGGACAGTTTATTCTGTGTAGCTGTGAAAGTGAGCGAGTGTTTAATAGGCTCAGAGTCAGTGTCACTGAAGAACACATGTGAAAGTCACAGCATGGTGTCCACCTGCTGCCTGTCTGCTCTGCATTTCCACACCTTTCATGTTGACCGGAGGACAGGCCCTCAGTCTCACCAGGTTAAAGCTCTTTGTAAAAATATAAGAGTAGAATACAAAGGTTTGGGGACGCTGAAGCACTTAGAATTATTAAAGCATTGTTTCTCCCTGGTTCTAGCAGCCAGTCTCTACTTTTCTACATTTTTCTGCCTTTTTGACCTTTTTCCTTCTAGCCGCTGCCTTTGGGCCATGTGTGAGTTTAATGCCTCAAACAACAGAAAGCTCACAACACTTGCTCGAAGGCTATCTCAAAGTAATGTCTAACAAACATTTCCACGTCACTCTCACATGTATCAGAGGGAGAAAACATCTGAAAGGTCGTTGACTCTCATAACAATAATATTAATAATAATCAAACATTCGTTTTGGCACCGTTTCCTGTCACAGCAGGAAGAACAAAAGAAGCTAACATGTTCCTCTCAAATGGCACTACACACTTCATACTACAAAAACACTTTTTTGGTATCACACTTGTTTCACAGCTTTCATCTGCAACAATGGAAATGAAGAGAAAAGCCTTATTTCTTCTGGTGGTGTGAGCAAACCTTTAACACTCATGGGGTCGACTGGTGAACCTCGAGGGAGGGAAACCATTATCGCTAACGTGTCAGAGTCAAAGCTGGATTCTCCCAGTCGTTCTCGAATCACTGGGATTGCAATGCAAAAGTAAAAAAGTGATAATGTTTGCTTGCAGGACATTGATCGTCCTACGATATGCGTGTTCATTTTGACACAGTAAGAAACTCGTGTGGGTTTCATGATACAGCCTACAATTAAATAATTTCATGCAGAGAGCCAAACTGTAAGTAAGAACAACACAAAATCACAGTTTTCTTCTGTGGCTGCTGATATTCTTCTGAACCGAGAAAGAAGAAGACTTATGAGCTGAAACCAAAGCATTTCTTCACACTGCGTCTGCCCTCGAGGTTCAACCGCTGCTGGCTTTTACATATTTGTGCTATTTGGTCACATATTTCTTCAACATATTTGGCAAAAACTCAGCTAAAAAAAAACAATCAGTATTCCTCATGGACATACAAAATTATTCAACATATCTTACATCTTCATATAGAGACATTTAAAAGTTCGAATCAGTGAAATCTGTGTCGCTCCGCCTGGAGAGACTCGAACAAAAGCAAGAAAACAAACGATGTTTAAAGCACAGGTGTCCCACTTCCACGAGGAACAATCCAAAACTCAAAGTAAACGTATATTCTATAGTAAGTTTGAAATGAACACAAAGAAAACCATGAAATCTTTATATCTTTGGGTTTCATTCATCTTGGTTTTCATAAAAACTTTTTGGATAGGCGGCCAGTGTGAAACGTGGCGCTCGTCTGTGCATCCGGGCATGTGGCACAGTGAACGTCGGAGTCACTGAAGTCCCAGTTGACCAATTTGGCATCTAGAAAGTCAGCTTGGCAGCGTGGCCTCATCATTTTTTGGATTCAGTTATGCAGATTAACAAAGACAAGCTTCCCGTTTTGCTCGGTGGAGAGAAAAAGAGGACGCCTGGGTTGTTTCATCATGTTGTCCACGACATACTTCCAAATATGTCTTTGGAGGAAAAGCACGAACATCTTCTGATGTCACAAAAATGGAGAAATTCCACCAAAAGCATAAGAAGCTGAGGCTTGATGGAGGCTGAGACTGATGCTGCAGAGCTCCACATGCTCCTGCACAGTTCGGTCTGTGACTCACACCGGTCAGGGAGATGCTCACTGACCAGAAGCCTTTACTTTTGGATGAGGTAGGCTAGCATTAGCAGGCTCGGGCTAACTATAGAAAAGATGTTCCCATCAGAGTGAGGTAGCTTTCTTTGGAAATGAGCAGCTTTGGGTGGAAGGAGCTGAGTTAACTGGTTCACACGACTCTTCCTAATGGCTTGTAATAGAAAATAGTTTCTCATCACACCGTCACCTCTGGAAGGTGTTCACAAAGGCCGCTATGTTTCTTCTTTTCCTTACTGTAGAGGAATAAAAGGCAAAGTCAAGAGTTTGTCACCACAGAGTGACGAGACCGTCTCCGTCAGGGTCGAGTTTTTGGCTTCATACGAGGTTTAAAGTCCACATCATCACGTGTCAGTTTATCAGTGGCGATCTGAGAGGTAGAATATTTTGGTTTATGCCTTCCACTGAAAAAGTGACAGAAATGTTTGTGGTGCGAGACAGGACACAATCTGTGGTGACAACGGTTTTCAAAGGCTTTCTTCACGTGCACAGGCACGTGCACAGGCAATAAAGGCAATAAGCTTTGGTTTGAGGGAGGGAGTGGCTACTCTCAGGTTATTAGCAGCAGGTCTGGGGACACTAATGGTATGACTGAGCCTAACAAACCAAAGGTGGTGCTCTTTGGTGGGAGGTTCCTAGTGAATGGCTGACTGCTGGAGGACAGGGCAGGGGTGTGGCTGTTATGACATCACTGACCAGTGTTAGCCAGTGCCTGTGGCGTGCAAACCTGACGAATGCTGATCAATGATAACCTGGCAGACCACCTGCTCACAGGACAGAAGAGCACAACAGGAAGGGGACAGAAGAGGACACGTCACAGATCAGAAGCATGCATGTGCACTGCATCGCTGTGAGGCTGCACAAACAAGTCAGGTTTTCTCTTTGAGAACTAGAATCATTCAACAACATGTTTGTAACTCTTTTTGCACAAGAAGCTTTTCTCCAAACGTTTTAAGTAGAATGAGAAAAGCTATTGAGCAGATGCTATTTTTTAACTGGATCCATGTGTTTCCATTCTGTGTAAGGATGAAACACCAGCTGCAGTCAGTGTGAAAGCTTCACAGTGGCAGCTGATCTAGTCTGCAGTCACGGTTCCACAGCTGTCTCATGAACTTTACGCTTTATTAGGAAACCTCGTGACTTTGAAGAGGGACAAACAACTCCTCTTCATGTCAGCTGAGTTTGGTAGTTAACCTGACTCAGCCGTCTGTGGTGGATGATGGAGTTAAAAGCACTAACATGTGAGCACCTTTAAATGTGTCTTATTATTATTAGTATGCATGAGGTAAGATAAAGTGTGTA